CGTTTTATTTTCTGTTTATAGATGTTCAGATAAACAAGTTCTCGTTTTTGTCGTACAATGATATGATAGTTTTTCTGTATTTAATGTAGTTGTGACAAGATTGTGGCTTGTTGATGGTGTTATGTAAGTTGGTTAACCCATGTTGTGTAGAGGTAAAAGCTTGAAAATTTGAAATGTTGAACTATCATGTGTGTTTTCTCTTTATAACCGTTTGTACATTTATACTGAAATCATTGATGTGCATAGTTGTATATTGTGTTCATCGAAACTAATGGTGCTTTCTACCTTCATTTGGGGAAATAGGGTTAGTTTAGTTGATTGAACGCCATTGAGATTGAAAGGAATGGTGGTTTCTACTTTCATTTGGGGAAAATAAGGTAATTTATATTAATTTGGACATTATTGAGAATAACTTGTTTGAAAAAGTTTGGTGGAATTAGGATGGGGGTATGGGGGGTCACACATGTTTTTCCATTCTCTATCTAGTGGGGAGGTGTAAGGAGGGCATGATTAAGTATGAAGAGAGTTGAATAATTTCATTCATAGGCTCTGGATTCATGGGTTTATCATGTAAGCATGATAAAGCATTGACACAGGTGATTCAGTGCATGCAATCTGAACCAGAAATTTTTGTCATGTCTTGTATGACGACAGCGTAAGGGTTGAAGAATAAAAAATTCTGCATTGCACTATGACTGTTTAGTGAGTGAGTAGACTGTCCAAGGCTTTGGGAGTTATTTATATTAAAAATTTCCAGGTATATATCTCTAGATATAGTGGCTAGTTTGCTCACTGCAGCTCATTGGTTTGTGGTTCACTATTGTACTCGTCCCTTTGTCCTAGGCTTTATGTTTCTGACCTGAGTTTTCCTTTTTATTTACAGGTGACATTCATGGGCAATACAGTGACCTTTTAAGGCTCTTTGAATATGGTGGTTTTCCCCCTATTGCAAATTATCTGTTCCTAGGCGACTATGTGGATCGTGGCAAGCAGAGTTTAGAAACAATATGCCTCCTGCTTGCCTATAAAATTAAGTATCCAGAGAACTTCTTTCTGCTGAGAGGAAATCATGAATGTGCTTCTATTAATCGTATATATGGATTCTATGATGAGTGCAAGAGGCGATTTAACGTGAGACTATGGAAATCCTTCACAGACAGCTTTAACTGTCTTCCTGTGGCAGCTCTTATAGATGACAAAATTTTATGCATGCACGGTGGTCTTTCCCCTGATTTGACAAACTTGGATCAGATCAGAAACTTACCTCGTCCAACTGCTGTTCCTGATACTGGATTGCTTTGCGATTTGCTCTGGTCAGATCCTGGTAGAGATGTTAAGGGATGGGGAATGAATGACAGAGGAGTCTCATATACATTCGGCCCTGATAAGGTGGCAGAATTTTTAATGAAGCATGATTTGGACCTTGTTTGTCGTGCCCATCAGGTTAGTGACTATCCTTCTTCCCCCTTTGTTCTACTCAAGTTAACTCGGCTTGGAAATGAAACAAGGTCTTTTTCTGTAGGTTGTGGAAGATGGTTATGAGTTCTTTGCGGACAGGCAACTTGTTACAATTTTTTCAGCTCCCAACTACTGTGGTGAGTTTGACAATGCTGGTGCGATGATGAGTGTAGATGAAAACTTAATGTGCTCTTTCCAGATTCTTAAGCCAGCTGAGAAAAAAGCTAAGTTCATGATGTCAACAAAAGTGTGACGATTGCACTACCACTGCTCCAGTTTGAACCAGGTCAGCCGATTATTGTTGCATTCACTAGCTTTGTGTGTGTGTGCATGCGTGCGCGTCATGTCTACGTTATTGTTGTAGTTCTATTTGTATTTGTGCAACTGAATGCGCAGCTATATGGGAATATTATTACTTATTACACTAGCTGTGTGAGTGCGTGTGCCATGCCATATGCCATCTATGTTATTGCTGTAATTCTTTTGCAAATTTTCTGGATGTGTGAAGGTTCATGTGCACCTATATGTGATTGTTATTATTCTTATGTTAATCTTCTCATCCTTGGAGGGCTTATGTAGTACACAAGCTCTGTTAGTTTGTTTATTAATTATAAATTCAAGCTCCATTGATTTCCTATATGGTCTTCAATCAGTTATGTTTCCTTTTGCTAGTTGTCTTCAAGCATTTTGGACCACTTTTATTTGAAAATGAAAACATTGAAGAGGCACTTGTAAGTTTTTACGTTGAAAAGGCACTTATAAGTTTCTACTTTGAAAAGGTGGGTTGTTTTATTTGTACTTTAGAAATTAACATATTTCAGCAGTTTTTATGCCACTTCATTGGAAGTTAATGTTTTTCCATAATGTAGGTAAGGGTCCTTTCTCTTAACTTTAGGAGATACATTTTATAATTTGACATGCATTGCTGCATTTCTTTTAGAATGGAAGGAAATAACTGGCCTTTCAATGAATACGATTTGGATTTCTCTGGTGGCACACCAAAATCATTTGTTAAGGCACTTTTTGTTTTGCAAAATCATTGGATCATGTCTTCATCATTGTTTGTCTAGTGTCAAACTATGAATAACCTTACATGCTTGTTGACTCATAATCTGGTACAAGTCATTAGTATACTCTGAGTCTTGCAAGTCAGGATCGAATTTCCTTAATAATGATCTGACTACAATACTTGCACGTATTTAATACAATCACCATCTAGCGGTGATATATAATTTATGTGAACATATGTATTTGATACAATTACTGTCTGACTGTCGAGATAGTGATTGTAATAAATACATGTAAGTATTGTAGTCAAATCCCTCAATAATATGGACCGGTAATATTGCAACTCATGTCCTTTCGATTTTTAAAATTTAATGAACTTTTCACATGGTGATAATAAAAAAACGCACTCAACAATCATTGGTTTAAAGACAAGAAGATATGTTTTATAATATCATGGTATGAGTTGGTTGTTTTTTCCGGTTTTTTTATAAGGCATCTCAAGATGCGCTTTTTGATGCAAGTCATTTTGGCCCCATCTTAATGAGCTTAATCTCATACCCGTGTGCTTTTTAACAATTCTGAATGGTGCGCTCGTAAAAAGACCCTGTAGTTCCGGCAGTAAGCTTGTGGCTTGCATATACTTTGTGACACTGAAATGTTTATCATGTGCTGAACAGTGTGCTAGTCTAGTTGTGCCTACCGCAACACATCAATTTGTGTTCACTTTATCCCATTTCCCTCATTATTTACTTATTTTTCCTCTTGCAGGCATTTTCCCCCCATTTTTTCTTGGGCAACTTAGCGGAAAATGAAGGTCGGCCAGCCTCGAAAACTTTCATTCACCTCTAGTAGACTCCAAGTATGTAAGCTGGGGTGAGGAGCTATAGATGTTGGTGGTTTGGGAGAAACTCTGGAGTCGCCTGAGGCAGTAGAATTTGATATTTCCTCGTTCACCTTTCTCTGTAATGCGTATTCTGCAACATTTGTGTACATATAATTTGGTCCGTCAACTGAATGCTGTGCCTTCCATGGAGGCCAACAGCAATCCCATCGTTTCGCTCCCCCAAAGAAGTCTCCAGTTTTCATAGATTATTAGGTAATATAACTCATTGATTGAACGGTTTGTTAACGACGCTTTAAGCTTACTTTTTTGTTGAGAGATGGTCAATTGTCATTAGTGGCTGTGTGGCATCTTATTAATATGTCAAGGCATCATGAACTTTTTTTCTTCCAAACATCAAGAACTTTTTTTCTTCCAAACTTACTGATTTATATGTGGCGCTTTTTATGTAAGGAGGACCAACGGACCGCAATTTGACATGTTTGCCTAAATGTTTTCCATTGTGATTGTCAAATTAATTTTGCGTGTGTCAGACTGTGATTTGCAACTGCAAGTAAGAATAAGAAAGAGTGACCCTTTTTATTAATGGCCCGAACAGCCGAAATCCTCCAAGAAAGATGAACTTATGTTAGTTGATAGTTTTACATTGAGCGTAAAATTGCTGGTAGTTCACATTGTTTTAGTTAAGTTAGTTGTAACCATAAGTGGCTCAGTAAAAAAAGTGGGGCCATGAGAGGTCATGGGTTTGATACTCTTTAAGCTATGAATTTGCTTGTTCATGGTCACAGGGGTAGATTGCAATATTCAACTAGCCTTATCCCATCCCGAAGAGGTGAATAATAGTGGTTCGTCACTAGTTGTTCACTTCATTTATCGTAAACCCCTACTTACTTACGAAGGTTATTACACCTGAATGAAAACATATTAGTAGTTTTAGAACTTACTACTTGAAACGTTGGTGGCCAATTCTGCTTTACTTGTGCGACATGTTTCTTTATTTAGAATGAATTCTAGAGTATCGATTATCGCAGATTGGAAATAGGTACCGTTTCTTTTTTCTAATTAAATTAAATCATATTTTTCAAGTATCGGATTACGAGTTGTAATCTAAAAACTAAAAATTATGTTACTTTTTAGTTTGTATTTTTATTTTACCGCATCGATATTATGTATAAGTAATCACACAAAAAAAATCGTGAATCAGAAAAATTCCAATACATATTTAAGTAACAAATAGTGGAGGGATGTGCAAAACTACTTTCATTTTGGTTTTGATATCAGAAAATTTGAGATGTAAAAAAAAAAAAAGCGAAAAGCTTCCATGCACCCAAAAATGGAGAAATGTAAAATTAATATTGATCAAAAAAGAGAGAAATTGTAAAATAAAATGGAATACGCGCTAAAGTTGTGGGCCTATGGGCCGTGGGACGTACAGATTTAAAATCTTCGCCCTCTTTTTTTAAATTTCTCAGTAGGGTTATTTTTCCATCCCACAAAACAAAACCTAATTTTAAGGAAATTTTAATGAAAAATTTTGGATACCATTTATTTTAACGAAATTTTATATTTTTACATTAAAATATCAATTATGTTACTACTTACTTCATCTTTTATTTTGTTGTTTTCGTTCAAATTCAAAGTTTTCAACCTTTACATTAATTTTACCATTTTTAAATTCAAACGAATAAATAAAAATTCAAAAAACCACCTCTTCCATTTCGTAATTTCATTACACAATTTCAAAGGCAATCCCAGAAATACTCATTACTGAATTTTCCGGGAATTGGAGTTTGGTAGATTCGAAAAAAGAAAAACCAAATCGGGGAAGTTGGGAAGAAAGAGGGAGGAATGAATACTGGGTTGGATCCATCGATGACGTTGCTGGCAGCAAGCGGCGGCGACACCGTGAAGCTCTTTGATGTGTCGGACAAGTCCGCCGATCCCTTGGTTTTAAGCTACACTCCTTCTCCTGGTTCCCATGTCAATTCCCTCAAGTGGAATCACACCAGTCAGTCACCACTCTCTCTCTCTCTCTCTCTCTCTCCTCTCAATTGGATGATGGGTTTTGCTTTCTGCTGTCTGTGTTTATAGGCATTGAAACAAAATTTGATCTTTGTAGATGAGAACATTTTGGGTCTTTTTTCCTGCATTTTCTTGGCTGCCAAATAGTGGGTTTAGTTTATTCAATGTGGGGTGTGTTTTGCAGATATGGTGGTGGCTAGTGCTGGAGATGATAAGAAGATATCGTTGTGGAATAAGAATGGGAAGAGCATAGGCACCATTCCGGTGGCCGGGACCGACAGCGGAGATGGCATTGAGGTAATTCAGTTACAATTATATCGTTGAAGTGTATTTGTATATTTGGTGTGACAGTAATGTGAAATGAATGAATGCTTGAGAGAAGGTGTTGGGTTAGTAGTTGATATTCTGCTGGTGGAACTATTTATGCAGGAGTATATATTGGCTCTCAGCTTCGGTAACAAGGTTTCTAGATACATTTGTTCCGGTGGAACCGGTCAGGTTGTAAGAATATGGGATTTGCAGAGGAAGCGGTGTATCAAATGGTTGAGGGGTCACTCTAGTACAATTACGGGTGCAATGTACAATTGCAAAGATGAGCACTTGGCTTCCATCAGTCTTAATGGGAACCTCATACTTCACAACCTTGCATCTGGTACAAGGACTACTGAACTCAAGGACCCCAATCAACAGGTTGTCTTCTCGTTGCATCTTTCTGCTGATTATTACGCTGGTCTTTGTGGCTTTGAGTTCTAAGTTTCCAAACTAATTGGTTGTTTGCTGGTTTTTAAGACCAGGTACTAAGAGTGCTTGATTATTCCCGGATTAGTCGACACCTTCTTGTGACAGCAGGTGATGACGGGTCTGTACATTTGTGGGACACGACCGCTCGTAGCCCAAAGGTTTGCAGTATGTTTAATCGAATATTGACGCTGTGCTGCGTTTTCTTGGGCTATTGTGTTTGCATTCCCATTGGGCAATGTTAAATTTTATTCCCAGTTCATAGATGGAAAACAGGCATATCTGAAAGAGATTAATTACATTTCCTTATTTTTTACAACTTTCAACCTCCCGAAATCCAAAGCGAGCATTGATCTTGTCCCTTGATAGCGGTAGTGGTCAAATATTATCCCTTTGCTAACTTCCTTGTTTATCACTTACCTTATTAATCTAGGCAGAGTTGTTAAGTTGAAAAATACTCTATCACTTACCCATTTAGTCCTGTTTCCCTTAGTTTGTGTTTTACTTGTAATTGAATTGGTTTGTTTGTTTCTTCTTTTTTTTCCCTTTTTCGTACTCTTTTACGCAGGTTTCTTGGCTGAAGCAGCATTCTGCACCAGCTGCTGGTATCAGTTTCTCTCCATCTAATGACAAGGTCTCATAAGTACATGTAACTTTACATTTTATAGTTAATTATGTTTACAAGACAAGAAGGCTATTTGACCATGTGCTACTAAATTGTGCAGATTTTTTTAGGGTCAGAATATGTAGATAGATATTAATTAAGCCTTCTGATTTTCAATATATTTTCCTCTTGATAGATGATAGCTACCGTTGGGCTTGATAAGAAGTTGTATACTTACGACTCAGGGTCGAGACAACCTTCACATTGTATTTCCTATAAAGCACCTTTCTCTTCATTGGCATTTAGAGATGATGGTTGGGTATTGGCAGCTGGAACAAGCAGTGGTGATGTGGTGTTCTACGATGTCCGTGGTAAACCAGAGCCTTTCACTGGTATTCGTGCTTATAGTAGTTCAGAGGTAGCTCTCTCTCTCTCTCTCTCTCTCTCTCTCTCTCTCTCTCTCTCTCTGCACTGTTCCTTGAAACTTTGAATTTTGGAAAAACTTGTGTTGTCTCTAATATTTTTGAATTTCCTATCCTTTGTAAATTCCAAATTATGTAACACTATAGGGCCGTTTCCATCACTAAGTATCAAGATACCTTATACATGGTCAGACATATCCTCCTTATGGTCTGGCTCAAGCTTTTGATCATCCCTGGTTAGGTAGATTTACCACGAGGATGTTCTCATGGGGACACACAATGGGGTGTTTAGCTTTTAACAAGCAGTCTACATGAATGACACGGTTGGGTGTTTAACTTTGTTTGTACTAATCGTTTTCAGTATTCATCAGGCTGTTACAAGTCTATGCTGGCAAAGGTCAAAACCTGTCGTTGTAAACGAAAGCAATTGTACTGTTGAGACTGCTCTTTTAGGAGATGCTGTTGAAGATTCAATCCTTATGCCTGACCAACTTCCTTCTGTGACTTCATCAAGTCTTCCTCCATCTATGGCGGTATCTAGTTCTCGAAATCCAGGCCATTCAAGTTCATCTACCGAGACATCAGCAGCTGGCAATGGATTAACATCAAGCACACTTTGTGTATCTACGACAGAGGATACACCACAACGAGACCATTTGTGGCCTGGTAGAACATTGCGTAGGTTGCATCCTCCTCGATCTACTTATAACTTCAAGGATGATATGGAGGTGTTCTCCCCTCTTGTCGATGTTCATCCAATCACACCTACACTTGACAAGCTGTGGGATGATGACAAATCAAAGAAGGATAATTTGTTTCCAGATAAGAAACCTTCGTCACTTTTATTTCCTTCGTCCGGTGGGAGATTCTCTTTTGCAGAAGATGGGGCCACTGATCATCCAATTTTTGACTGGAAAACCAGTTCAACATCTAAACAGGTCTCACTTATCCATATCTTTATTTTTTTTTTGGATGAATGCTTAATGTGAAATGTTCCATCTTTTGAATTATAAAGAGCAACCTTGTATGCAAACCTGGAATTTCTCATCCTTTATGCTGTTTTTGTAAGTATAACTATTTTAATCTTTTTCACATTTTCTTTTTCGACCAACAAATTTTCTGACCATTATGATTTCTGGACCACCTTAGTCTTTATTGTTCTGTAAATGGTAAACCAAATGAAATGTTAGATCAATACGGAACCATGTATGCTAGATTGTAGTTGCTCGTATGTAAGTTGTAAGCTATGTAAAGTGATTTTGCTATTTGTTGGGGTGGGGGTGTTAAATTTCTTGATGTCTTTATTGCGTATTCAATTGTTCTGAATGATCATGTTTGTTCCTTGGTGTAGGATGACATAAAATCGTCGTTTGCACTATTAGAATCAACCCCTACTCCATCTTCCAAGAGTGAAAACTCATCCATCACCCCTCCAGAAGCTTGGGGTGGTGAGAGATTTTCTGAGAAGTTTCGCCAGCCAACCTCTTTTCTATCTCGCGTTGGGATGTCAGCTCAGACATCAGGATCAACTTTATCTGGACTGCCCGATATGTCTTTAACAGAAAACTTGCAAAGTTTGCGCACCAAAGGTTTGTCTTCCATTCAGGAGACTTCGTTTGGATATCCTGAACATATTTCCTCGAGTGCAATGCCTATGTCCCCTGGTAACAAAGGCCTCTTGGGACAGCCTAACCTTGATGCACCAATGTCTTTGACCTTTTCTCGGAGATTCTCTACTTATGCAGAGAGGATAAGCACTACATCTAACTTCAATGATCGAACATCCCTAGCAGTGAGTTCACCAAAAACAAAGAAAACAGGAGCCGAAGGAAGAGAAGAATTGTTGAATAGCTTCTTGTCAAAGTCAGATGCATCAACTGCCACAGAATTAGGGGCTCTTCCAGCAATTAATGTATGGGTGACAGATTTGTTGGATAAGTCGTCTTCTTTGGTTTGGTCTGACTTTCCATTTAAATATGCTCCTTCTGAAGAAAAAAAAGGAAATTAAAACATTAGAGCATCAATTGTTATTTTAATGATTTTGCTCATATACATGCTTTCACCTTTTGAATTATATAACAAGTGGGTCCGATTTGAAGCGGTTGCTCTTGATTTTACGCTATTATTCGAATGGGAAACCAGTGATGAAATTTGTTAGGAGAAGCCTCCACAGATGTTTATCATGTTTCCCTTTTCTGTCATACTAGATTATTATAGTTAACTCGACGATGATGATTGTGACAGGGAGGAAGCTTGCATCTCCAAAATGCGCCCCAACAAGATGCACAGCAGGGAAGCTCCTTTACATTTCAGATTTTTCAACGGACTCTAGAAGAAACTCTGGATTCTTTTCAGAAATCTATACACGAAGATATGAGGAACCTTCATATAGAAATTTTAAGGCAATTTCATATGCAAGAGGTATGAATCTTCTCTCTTGTTGTTTTCATTTTCGTTTAGTTCCTCATGCATTTTCTGGAATCATTACGCAGATGGAAATGTCAAATGTGATGAGGACAATGCTGGAAAACCAAGCTGAGCTGATGAAGGAAGTTAAGTCTCTCCGGAAAGAAAACCAGCAGCTCCGGCAATTGCTTTGAGCATTGGTGACGATTGTTATTGTTTTGAATTTTTTTTTTTTTTTTGGTGGATTTGGAATATGCATGTTGTTTCAGTGTCATGATTTGCTCTCCATCAGTCGGTGTTCGTTATATAGGTAGACTAGAATTGCTTCTCTTGGCCGGGGGCGGGGACTAAAGAAAAGGTAGAAATGCAAGTGCAATAGGAAGTAGAGTTTATGAGCATATGTACAGAATGATCATTTCCAGCTAATGAACGAAGGCTTTGATTCGGGTGAAATTTACAAGCATTACGATGTTTCAGCTTTTACCTGGTTTTATTTGTTCATTTTTCCTTTTACCTGTTCCCATCTTGGACTGTCTCTTCTGCTCCACTCCTACTGTTATACGACGGTGCTCTTGCTCGCCCACAATATCCGTTGGACGTGCTTTCGGGGTAGAACATCCTTCCTTGCATCGAGTATCGAAGAAGGTATAGCATCGTAGTCCCGAGTGTGTTAATGTTGGAAGTCTATAGCACTCGGGAGGAACAGATGATAAAGATCGCTTCTTGTGGAGAGCTTGGCCTCGGAAGCTGGGAACTTGCATTCATGCTTTGAAGCGTTAAGGGTCCGTTTGGAAGTGAAGAATCATAGAGCCATAATCGCTTCTCGAGAGAAGCACATCCGCGGAAGTGGTTATGGCCACTTCCACAATTACTTCTAAACGAGCCTTAAGTCGGTTAGGTTATGAGGAAACTTCAAGGGATAATTTACTGAATTGCTTTTCTAATTTTTTTTTTTTCTTCCTTTTTTGTTGTTCTTCCAACTTTTTAACAAAATATTAAATAAATTGAGATAATCGTCTAATTTTTACATTATTAATAATTAAATGTAGCCTCCGCGCTTACCGCATCACAATAACGGCCAATTTGACGGACTGATAACGGTTGTATGACATTGATATGAAATCATGAACCGCTGTATGAAACTGCAAAAAAATTGAAAGGCGTACGAATTTGAAATTGAACGAAAAGTGAGGGGGTAATTTTGCCCTATTGTCTTTCATACGAAAATCTGTAGACAGAGAATTGAGAAGTGTGGTTATAGCAATACGGGGGGTGGAAATATCCGCACCCCAAAACAAAATGCTGGCAAAAGTTTGTGTCATTGTCTTGATTGAACTGTAGTCACTAAGAAATGACGACCCGAAATCTGTGGCAGTTGAGAACATGCAACATGTAGCAGAAGCACGTCAGGGCAGTCGGCACTGAACCATCTCGGAGTTGTTGGAAATTACAACGGTTTCACGGCTCTTCTCATGACTCCATGAATACAGAACATCTTGCAGTTCGAAGGACTTTGCAAATTTAGGGTTTCAGCTTTCGTACTACGCCTCACTTCTTGATTAATCTCAACACGTCGCCAACAAGATGTAACGAACCAGTTACAAGGACCTGGTATATAAACCTTGGTTCCATGAAAATGAAAGATAATAAATTAAATCTCCCAAAAATTAAAAAACAAGATTACCTGAAAACGAACAGATTTACTTTGTCGGACAGTGTCCCTGAGCCATTGTATCGCTGATGGGAGAGAGGGAAAAACTGCACTATTTTCACAACTTTTGACAGCGATCTCCTTATCATCTGTCAGTTCTTCACAAACTGTGGCTGCGCTATTGTCAGCGCCTCCTATTAAAGTAAAAAAATAGAAACACTTCCCAACTGAGAAATACAGTGCACCCCTGAATTATATGTTGTCTGAAGAACAAGTTAACTTAATTGGAATTTTATGTTACAAGTCACATACCTTTGTTACCCTGCATTAGATTTTCCCATACTTTTTGAAGAGCAAACTGCCACGACAAATCCACTTGAGAATCAGTCGGAGGTAAGGAATGCGAACCGACCTTGTAATACACTGATGTGTTTGGTACAAACAGAGCCTTCTTGAAGTAGACACCTAAAATATCAACCAAAATCTCATAAGTTTCTTTGAAACATACTTCGAGAAAGTTTCTGACACCATTCAAGAGTGAAATTATCAATACTCTAGGATCACCACCATGAAACTTGAAGGAAATTGAGGCTCCACCCTAAAACCCTTTGGTAATAGGGGAGTGGCCTAATTGCTTATAAGTCCGTCTTAACTTTCCAATGTCGGATTCTCACAAAATTCATTGCAGATATAAATTCCATGCGTTTCCATTTTTCAATCAATAATGATTTTTAACCTATAAATTCCTTTTAGATCTTTAAAACTTACTGGACGTAAATTCAGAAGATTACATAAAATAATGCTTATGCTCACCATGACTAGCACATGTTTTCATCAGATTCGGAAGCAGCAACTGAGGATCCCTCACTGACATACAATTAAACAGCAGTATCTGCAAGTATTTATCAACAAATTTTTCTCAGTAACAGCCAGGGAAATGAAGATCTCCAAGGCTTGTAAAATAAAGCATCTACCTGTTCTGAATTCTTCCCGACTTTTTCAACAGGGTGCCTCTGTACCGGATCATGTGATGATCCAGAAGTACCGGGTGGCTGAACAGAAAGAGAAAACCATCTTGCGCATATTTCCATGCTTTCTGGGCTATGTGCACCGTCCAAATAAAACACAAGATCTTCAGGGCTTTCACTGTTAATAAAGCGATCAGGGACTATTTGAGCCCGTCCTTGTAAACTGACTGTAGCAGTTAGTCCTTTTATGAACTGCTCTGGCAGAGGGGTCTATTCCATTTGGATATGTATATAAATCAATCAACATAGAAATCAAGAATACAACGGAGAATTGATTGTTCATAGAACTTACAGTATGTTCTGGGTTTTCAAGGTGACCAGTCCTCTGGAGCCATGTAGAGGACAGGGCAATAGCAAGACCAGCATTAACATATTGGTGCTCGCCTGCAAGCCCAAGTTTTGAGCCATTCAGCATATTGGGATCCAACGGTTGTACCAGTTGAAGGGGTACCTGGAACCAGCATAATTTCTCAGTTCATTGAAGACATTCTTTTTGTTTTGTATTTATCTCAAAACAAAGTAACTGCATCAATAATGATTTTATTTATATTTCTTTATAAGAACATCAATACCGAATTCAAAATAGCTAAATTTGGCTTGGCATAGTGTAACTCCTCAAATTGTTGAAATATTATTTGCTTAATAGATGGAAGGTATATCCCTAGAATATAGCCAAACTCCTTATACATGTAGGTCAAATAGAACGGCATCCCTCAATTACAAAAAGGCCTCAAGTTCCTTCGAACATGGCAGCTATGACTTGGCAACTTTGTAGTCCATAACAAACCTAAATTCAGAATCCCAGGACCTCCAATAATCAAAAGTATCCTAGGATTGCAGAAGAATGGAAGCTGAGGCTTAAGCAGCAAAGGATGCGAGTGAAGATTTAAGAGCATGTCAGTACTTAAAGGGGTTCTTAAAACAAATATGCGCATGGAACCTGTCTCAAAACTTTGATTTAATTATCTGTTTGTTAGGAATTCATCTACTTATTAGATGACCGCTTGTATATTACACTTTCTAGAGAGACGTCAAATTTCTTTCATTCTGTATCATGCATTTTCAAGTTCTGAGAAAAAATTAATGAAGGGAACATCTTGCAACTTACATCCAACTGAGAAGCCTTCTCTTCCAGTACACGCATTGCTTCATCAGGTTGAGGCACAGTCAAGGCAGGAACCCTAGACTGAATTGAAAGAAGAGAAAAATGGGCAGTAACGGAAGTGAGTGTAAATTCTGTTAGACATATGGCCAATCATCATATGCATTTAGAAAATGTAATTTTAAGGAAAACCTTGAAGATTCCAGCCTTCTCCCCAGCAATTGCTCCCAAAGTATTTCCTATTTATAGTATCCAGCAAAGAAAACAAAAGCAATCATGCGTATTAGACACCTGTGGGCATGGGTATCAATGTTCACATGTTGTGGCGCCAGATTGACAATCTGGACCACACATTCAAACAATTTTCCACTTGATCAATGGCCCAAATTGACAGTTTGACACCATAACATGCCAAATTGTAATTGTATCACATTGCAAATACAGAACATTTGCATATGTTCTTTATATTTGTATTTTCAATTAAATGCCTCAATTACTCACATGTAATTACATAGGTTTGAGAAAACACTAACCAAGAATCTCCATGTGGTCATATCCAAGGGAAGATATACCACAGACAACAGGCGCCTGAACCTGAAATGTTAATGCATCTATACTTGGTTATTTCCAAAGCAATCAAAATAATGGATCTCGTACTCAAATATGCATTTCACATACCACATTTGTTGCATCAAACTTTCCGCCTAACCCTACCTCCAAGATAGCAACATCTACCTGCATAGTAGATCAAAATAAAAGCAACATTACTGATTCACATCATCGAGATCAATAACATTTCTGGAGAGGAAGGATGTTATATGGAAGCAACTAAGAAGATATGCATCAAACCTGTTCTGCTGCAAATATCTTAAAGGCAAGCAAGGCAAGGAAGCGAAAGTAGGTAGGCATTGGTATATCGTTAGTAGATTTTTCCTGCATTTGAAATACATGCTCATGTTTGACATAACCATCATGATTAAACAAATTAGACAAAAGCATTGAACTAAAAAAGTTCAGGATACAAGAATGGACACTCTTTTGCATTGATCAGTATACAGCAGAACGAAAATGTGCTAATTCAAAAATACGGCAAACAAAAGATTAAAAATATCACACATGGATTACCTTAAGTCTCTCGAAACACCACCAGAAATATGCTAAAAATTTCTCTTCACTGATGTCCAAACTGCATCATTCGATGAAAACAAGAAAAGGTAACATTACATGAAGCTTACTTGTTAACATGGAAGTTAGACATAAAACTACTTAGCCTATACAAAATAGACAGACTCACCCATCCAACCGAAATCTTTCTCGAACATCAATGAGATGAGGAGACGTGAAAAGTCCAGTGCGAAAGCCGCAATGGCGTAATATCGACTCTGTGAAGGTGCAGGTGGATCCCTTTCCAATACCCAAAAACAATAAAACAGCAATCAGTCCCTCATCATACAGAAACAAGTAACCAAAGCCAGTGTATACATACAGAATCACACTATTAAAAATAAAGTTTGTAACTTCAAATATATTAACAATAAAGGTTAGCGATTTTAATACTTTTCTTTAACCGTCTGCACTCTAAACCGAATATTTTATAATTTTTTAAGCACTCGCAAGCAGTGACGGGTCCAGAATTTTTTTCATTGGGACATTTCATCGAGCATGTACATGTTGAAGTTCAATTAGTAAAATGTAAAATTGTGTAAATACCTTGCCTTTGGTGCCAGCAACGTGAATAATCTTCATCTGTTCAATAGGCTCCTCCAACTCCAGAATCTGCATATTATTACGTAAAACACCATTAATCAATAATTACTTGAATTTGCACACATGAGCTCAAATACGACGTCGTTGAATTAGTGAATAAAGCTCTGTAGTTTTTGACTTTGAGGTAGTCGAAGAGGAGGTCGAAGCGGTCGCCCTTGTTGCTCTTATCGGCACGACTGCGTTTTGTGATCAAGGAGGATAAAGCGTCCAGTGCCTTCTCGTACGGAGTCGCCGGAGGCGGTGCCGAGGAGCCATCGCCACCTACAAACAAACCAAAACAAAATGAATAGATAGAAGGAGGAGGAGGTGGCGGCGGCGGGGTTGTATCGTAACTTTGTAGTATTACCTGATTCCGCCATGGCGAGTGGAGTTGGTGGTTTAGATCTGAATCGAACGAAAAGTTGGACTGAGATCAAGGAATTGGGGTTGAAACTAAACCACTTCTTCAGTCCACTGCGTCGGATTCTTTAATCTATTTTATTTTGTACGTAGTGGCTGAGGCTGCTAAACACGGATGGGGATCATTTTCGGATTTTTTTTGTGAAGACATTAAATATGCTCACGTTCATTGTTGGTATAGCTAGTTTGTCTCAGGTATTATTTGAATTTAATTTTAAATAAAAAAATTTAAATAATTTCTCTCTACAATATATGATGAATGACTAAAATATAAAGATTTCTAAAATCCCACCACGTGGATCCGGATGGAATCCAAACCTTCTAAACTCTATATCATTAATATAGTTTAATGGACTCTTTATCGTAATATGCCCAATCTTCATTGAACACTATATCATAATTAGTGATTACTACATTACACTATGGTTTTTTTTATTAGCACCCCACATAATGTTGAATGCATCCCACATTAAAATTTAATATTAAGTGGCTTATGTAACCTACTATGCAATGACAATTTCGACCTTATGAGGTTTAAAGAAAATAAGAAATTTCTAAATACATCCCAAATTACTTTTAAAGTATTATTTATCTTCTTCAACTATTAAAACCCCTCTCACCCGCCACTCTATTGTTGAATAAAATTCTAACCATTGAAACCATAAACACGTTGATTGAGAAAAAAAAAATTAACGAATGGAACACGATATCAATATTTTGGAAGCTTCAGATGGGGTAAAATTTCATATCTGTCATTGTTTTAATTATTCAACGACATCGGTAATTATTTAAGCTTGATTTTGCTTTCCATACTACCCAATTTTATAGAAGGCCAACCCAGCAACGCCTTTTCCGTTCTTATTCATCTTCTGGGGTTTACTTTTGCACTATTAAATTCCGCACAGTTGCCATTTTTTAGTAGAACTCCTTTTTTGTTAGCAAAGGGCTTAAGAGACAAGGAAAAGGAGATTTGAACGTGATGACCCAGTGAAACTCAAGCTCAACAGATCGGATTGTAGACTTCTCTTTTTAGATAATGTTAGGGTTTTAATCCTAAGTCAATTTAATTTATAAAAATTGAAAATGAGTATTATAAGATTTAAGGAATGTGGGGTGAATGTGGAAAATATTAGGTGTATGAGAATGCGGAGTGTAAGGGTATTATGAGAAAGTATGCAATATATATTAAGATAATTTTTAATTGAAAAAGTAAATGTGGAGTGTATTAAGTATGTAGAGTTTAATCAACTATATTGTTCCCTATTAAAAAGATTTGATATGATACTCAACTCCACTCTTACGTTGCAAAGTTTTTACACGATCAAACCCAACTTATTACAAAAAAAAAAGCTTAAATCAGCTTGAGCTCGGTACCAGGCTAGAATTTTTTAAGGTGTGCAAGAACCAAGCAAACCTAGCTTGAGCTCAGAAAAATTAAACAAACCAAACTTCAAGCACAATAATAATCGGTTCTGCTCGGCCCATTTACAGCCATGATTATATTATCTTGATTGGGCCGCCCCCTAATCAAAGCACACATTAATCAAACATCCAAATAAAATATAATTGCATTAGGCCCAAGGTGAGACCGAACAACCATATCAAATGGTATGTTCACAAAAATCCTTCCATCGTACGTAAGCTCATTCTCTCCTGACGTATCTAACGGTGTGCCGTCTCAGCCACAGCTGATACATCAACGTATAAAACGCATCGAACGGCTCCGGTGTCTCGTTCCACATAAAGTGCCGACTCGCAGCCACACCCAACTCCCTCATCTTCTCGTGCCGCTCCCAGCACGCGCGCCCCAACACGCGCTTCAGCTCCCTCACTACCCCTCCACTACGTCTCACGAACACCGCGATCTCTTGCCACCTCAGCACGTCCGAGAACGGCAGGTCCGGGATCGGACGGTCCGTGATCACCACCGGCACGCAACCGAAACGCAGCGCCTCCCCGATCCCCGACACTTCGCCTCCTCCGTACTCGAACAAGCAGAACTTACTCCCGCCGAGTCTGTCCGCGAAGGTATTGGGATCGGACGGCTTGGATTCGATCAGAAAATCGGGGTCGCTGCTCAATTGGTTGACCAACGTTGACTCCTTGACCCAATCGAACCTGGCGTACCCCAAGATGCTCGCCGTGTTGTTCGTCGGCGCGGGAGTGCTCGGGACCGGCGGAAGCGAAATGTCCTTGTGGGGAATAAACTTACCGGCCGGCGTCGGGAAGCACGAGATCTGGACTGAGTTTTTCTTGAGCTCGACGAGATTCCGATCCGATTCGTACCCGATGCCGGCGCATGAGAGGTAGAAATGGTCGGCGCCGAGGGTGCGGTTCCAGTAGGGAAGCTCAGAGCGGAGGGATCTGATGAGGCGCGCGACGGAGCGCGGGGGGAGGTCGGAGGGGAAGGGGACGAAGAAGAGGTGGGCTTTTTCAGGGTTTTCGGTGGGGAAGTGGCTGTCCTGGAGGCGCGTGTAGAAGAGCGATTGGGATGGGGAGGTGAAGGGGAAGGTGCTGTTTGGGTTGTAGATGAAGATCTTGAAGAATTTGAACATGTTTTGGTAATTTGGGTGGATCGTGGCGGGTGAAAGGTAGGGGGAAGTCAGGGGTTTGGGGTGGGCGGCGAGGACGGAGGAAAGAGAGAATTGGAGGAGGAGGAGGTGGAGGAGGCGGAATATGGAGGTGGTGGACATTTTGGAACAGCCACACAAGGTCTTAGACTGTGAAACCGCACTCTTTCTCACTGGTAAAGCGGGAGATTGAAGACGAAGAGGAGATGTCAATTGTGAAATGGCGACGAAACGGGGGTAAGGTGTTGGTAAGGTTGCGTCCCGCCAGGCGGCAACGCGTGGTCTATTTGTTTATGATTTCGGACAATGACCGGATGATTAATACAATGCTGAGATAATCACTGTGCCAATATAATAAAACTAGATTAAGAATGTAGTTGTTAGTGTTAATTGAGAGATTTATAAAGTAATATTCTTATAATTTGGGAATTGTTATTAGCACTCCAAAAATCTCATTTGGCACTTTAAACTTTCTATAATTAGAAAAGAAATTTCACTTGTGATGAGTGTAGAATGAGATTTTTAGAGTGCTAATAACAATTCCCTGTAATTTCTAACAAAGTGATATTTTACATAAAACGGGATTTGTAATGAGATCGATACTGCATAGATAAAGATATTTTAAACATCTTAATTTAGATTTTTATCTCTAATGTGAAACACTCACAATACGCATCTCAGCGTGGCGTGTTTTGCACATAAATGATTCTCCTTCCGCGGTGTTGTAGTTGGTGAAATCATTAGATCTATTAATGAACAAAATCACTAGCATCATATAAGAACATAAGTATCTAACAATCTTCTCCATAAATTGATAGGGATTTTTTTTTCTCTACGAGGTGCAATGGTTTACATATTAATTCATATAAGGATCTCAAGCTCACTATATTATTAACTTAATGGTGGATGAAACAATCAATCTGAATTAAATGCATTTGAATTATGCATAAAGAGAAAAGTAAAACTTTCATCTCTTATTTTAAAAATCATCTCAAATATGAACAACATGAATTATACTTAAATCAAAAACTAATTAACTTGTTTGGAAGTGTTATTAAAGAAACAGTGAAAATGTTTTTGAAATCAATTTTTAGTGAAAATGTAAGTGAATCTAGAAAAGACTCTTGAAGTGCATTAGAAACCTAATAACTTTTTCTCTAAAAAGACTTTTAATCATATTAAAATGCTTGAACCCAAAGATCTTACAATTTCTCCATATAACTTGCTTGGAATATCAATAGGCATCCGTCTGGGTGGTGTAGTCGGTTATCACGCTAGTCTCACACACTAGAGGTCCCCGGTTCGAACCCGGGCTCAGACACTTTTTAATTTTACCATATATTTTTAGCTCACGTGATATCCATGATCCAGTCACGTGCAACAGTTGGAAAGCAAAGTAAACGCGCGCACGGAAGAAGCGCGTGCAGTGAAATTAAAACCGTTCGGTCGTCTTTTCGCTGTCTTCCTTCCAAATTACGAAAAGCAACGTCTTTCCTGGGGCTGGTCTCTCTGACTCAGTTCCAGCTCCCGACTCGGATCCCTCGAACTCGGAATCTCAACCCATTGACTCTCTGAGCTTCGAAACGCAGCGTTTTGGTTTCCGTCTCAAATGGATGAGTCCTACTCTGGCCTCGCCACCAGCCATTTGCTCGGCTCAGTCCCTGTAAGTTCTCTGATCGATTTTGAGTTTGATTTTTTTATGTAATTCTTTCCACCAATTCGCGAATCGTTGAATCGAACTTGTAGAGTTGTACATGATTGATTGGGTGCGTCTAGATTCTCTTTACATGAATGTAATTTGTGAGCTAAGTGATCTTAGAGCTTGTTTGTTTCCCGGGAAAATGAGGGAAAGTGAAGGAAAAGAAAATTTTGGAGTTCTGGATAATCTGTGGTTTCGACATTTTTTTATTATCTTCTGCCCCTTTTCTGAGCTGCCAATGTGAAGCTTAGAGTTTGATATAATTGAGATTTTGTGGATTTTCTTAATAATTTCTTACAATTAGGTATAATTTCGTTGCATGAATGTAATTTGTGAGCTGACTGATCTTAGAGTTTTTTTGTTTTCCGAGAAAATGAGGGAAAGTCAATGACAGTGTTTGGTTAAATTTTTGCCCCTTTTCGGAGCAGCCAAAGTGTTACTTACAGTTAGTTATAATTGAGATTTTGAGGAATTTCTTAGTAATTTTTACAATTATTTATATTTCTTGATGCATTTCCATTTAAATATAACTACTTTCCAATTTAAACAACCATTCTCTAAGTAATAGTTGCAATTTTTAATTATATTACTAAGAATTATTAACGATATGAACCCAAGCTATGAAAGTTGTTTTCCCTTTGGAATGTCGAATAAATCACTTATCTTTACTCTACCTTTTTCCCCCTTTTGGGCTTGATAGGCTGTTACCGAAAATAAAGAAAAGAATACCACAAGTTATGAAGGTATTATACTTGCTCACTGTGTTTTAAATTATTCTTTATTTCCTTTTTCAAAGTAAAAGTCCGGTGAAGGTTCACTGGAATCATTGTTTGTTTCCTGCTTTGAAGAATTTTCTTTGAACTCATGCAGCACCTAACGCGAATTTGCAAATTTTCCCGCCAAATAGTAATGGAGGAGGGAAAGGGGGCGGTTATCAAACTGTTGGAAGTACAAGTGGTATGGCATTCAAACGGATAATTTACATTCATGTGCTTTATATGTAGATTTACTTTTAAGAAAACAGCAAAACTTAGTCAACAATCATCCTCATTTATTTTCTGGTGAATTTAGTATTTTGAGTGTTAAAGTTGAGTGCTGTAAAAGCATGAAACCTAATTAATCAGCAGTGGAACAAATCCTGGAGTTATTTTCTATTTCCTGAACTGTAACTCGTTTTTGGGGAGTGCGGAAGGATTTGAACCTCCTTCAACCCCGAGTTGAGTTTTTCATTGCAGAATAATGCAGATTGATGTTAAGATTAATGTCTTTGTAACTTTGCACATGAGTTTTTATGTACATTATCAAGGTTCTTATGCTTTCTTACCCCAAATAAAGTAGCTGGCATATTATCTTCCCCCTATGAAATGATTTTCATGAGTGTCATACTTTTTCACTTTTCTTTTGGATTGAGTGGTAGTAGGAGCCTGGTATACTAATGTATTAGGAATTTAGGATCAAGAAATGTCTTTGACCTTATCTGCTTGCTAAATGCATTGTTAACCTATTGCTTTTTTGGGACATCAAATCAAATTTCGAAAGGATTATTGGTGGATTTTCTTCTCTTTCTATGTTTATTTAATCTGCTACTTTATTTGCTTTGTATCTGATGATCTCTCGTTCTGTCAATCCATGCAGAAACATTTGAGCAACAACCAGCAAACAACTGGAGGGGAGTATTTAATATCGCATCATACACACAATACTTCAATGTGGATACAGACGTTATCTTAACCAGATTGCTTAGTTCTTTATATCCCCATACTGGAGATTTTTTCAGCAAAATTGATGCCAACCCTGATCTGTGAGTTTCTGGTCTTTATTTCCCTTTTTTCCTTTTGTTTCTTTTATGTACATGTTATTTCATTACTAAAAAAAGAAAAGAAAGAATCATGATCCTCAGTTTCAGTTGAAGAGTTTGATATTCTCATGTGGGCTTTTGACTAGAGTTCGCTCTCACCTTTATGCTTTATTCAGATTAAATAGCTGGTAAGATTATGTCAAAAAATATTGAGAAATACATACACAATGTCCTCTTCTGTAACATCGTAAGGTTGGATTTTGATTTTTAGGTTTGCATCATCTCATCTGCAAAATTTATGTTAAATCACAAGAAGGAAATCTAGCTACTTGTGAAAAAGGCTAATACTAAGGCAGTATGTTCTTTATCTGTGCGCAGCTATATGTAAACGTGAGCATCTAACATTTGGCTTTCTTCGCGTGAGTTTCTGTAATGTGTAGATATGGGCTAATCTGGATTTCCACTACGTTGGTGTTTGTGCTTGCTGCACTTGGTAACTGTGCCACCTACCTCATGGACAAGCGCACAGATAGCAGTACCTCTTGGGTGTTTAATGTCAGTTATATGAGTTTGGCAGCCTACTCAGTCTACGGTTATGCAATTTTGGTGCCATTGGCATTCTATTTCTTGATACAGTATCTGGGCACCGCAAATGCCAGCCTAGTTCGGTATTGGTGTATGTGGGGATACTCTCTCTTCATTTTCGTTGCAGCCTCTGTAAGTACTTGCCTCCTCTGCCTTTATGTCAGTTTTTGTGTTTTGCCATTTCCCCCTTTCTTGACTCTCCATTTGAATATTGATAATCATTGAAAGGCCAAAAGCAGAAATAAGTAATCTTCTTTTGGATGAGTTGCTCTCAATACATTCAAATATTTATGTGCTGAACTGGACTCATCCAAGTACCATCTTTTAAGCTCAAATTGAGGGGAAATAAATATCTGTTTAGGGTAAAATGTTTCATGTTCCCGGTTCTTGGGGATTATTGAATGCTAGTTAATTGACACTCAGGGAAATGATGTTCGGCAGGGACTTTTCTTTCCTGCCAGGCCACATGTTTGTATTCATTTTCAGGCAGAACGTTGTGTTTTAGCCGGAACATTATTAATATTATCATTCAATCTATTATTCCGTCATCTGATACTTATTTTCCGGGAACATTTTCAGTTTCTGCTGCTTATCCCAGTTGAGGCTCTTCGGTGGATCATTATAGTTCTCGTTGGTGGGTATTCTGCTTGCTTTGTTGCCTTCAATCTCAGGTCCAATATGGAGGGGAGTGATTTTTCACTTGTGGTGGTTGCTGCATTTCTCTTGCAACTGGCCCTGGCAATCTTCTTTAAGGTCTACTTCTTTCCATGAGTGTTACCAAGCGCGCTCGGTCTCTGAATTACGAACCTCAACCAACTGCGTTTACTTGATTTCGGGTATTTATTTTTTATGTTGGCCAGAGTGGTACTTCTCTAGGGTCGAGGTTTTCGTGTGTGTTCAATTCCGCAATTACTCACTCGGTTGTATTGTAGTCCAAGGAAGAGAGAACATTGGCCCTGACGAGTTGGACTAAGCTTGTATTTGTATGTCACGCTTTTTCTTACTTAATCTTCCAACTTTCCCCTTCAAACCTGAGTTTGTAAATAAATATTGAAAAATGTCTTTTGCTTTAGAGAGGTTATTATACTATCTTTGCAACAGGTAGATTTCTTATCCATTGGTGGATTGCGGAAATCATTTCCTCAAGTATTTATTTATTTATTTTTATTGAGAAAGCCGAACGAAATCAGGAAGTACCTAATAGTGAATGCTTTCGTTATTTTGGATCTATCTTGCAAAAAAATAGAAAACTGGATAAGATCTCAACCATATAATATAAGTTGGACAGATGAATTGGAAGAGTGTATTGGGTGTTTGCACGACTGTCATATGCCTTTAAAGCTCAAGGGAAAATTTTGTAGGATGACAATAAAGCCCGCATGCTTTGCGCCATGGAATGTCGGGCGGTCAAGCATCAACACGTGCAAAAAGGATGAGTGTAGCGAATATGAGAATGCTTTGTTGGATGTGTGGGTACACAAGAAAGAACATGATTAAAAACGAGGATATCCGAGATAAAGCACGAGTGGCCGCAATTGAAGATAAGATGAGAGAAAACCGGTTAAGATGATTTGAATATGTGAAACGAAGATCAAGAGATGTTTCGGGTAGAAAATGTGAATATAAGACAGAGACTCAGGGCAAAAGCTATAAAGGAAGACCCATGAAGATTTGAAAAGAGAGTTTAGGAAAAGACATGAAGTACTTAAAGCTAACAGAAGACTTAACGCAAACTTAAACACAGTGGCGTTCAAGAATTCATATAACTAATTCCACTTAAGTAAATAAGATTTTGTCATTATTGTCGCCGTCCATAAAAAATAAAAAATAAATAAAAAAAATGAGAATTTTAACGAAAAGTTTCTCATACTGTTTACTTTAACAAAAAACCATATTGTTACCTTAAAAAGTCAATTCTGTTACTATTCACTTTACCATTTATTTTGTCCTTATCGTTAAAACTCAAAGTTTTCCAACCATTGTCATTAGTTTTTCTCCAAAAAAAAAAAAAAAAAAAAAAAAACCAAACGGATATCCGTCACACTTCCACATTGCCACACGTCCAAATGAACCCACATTACAATTCGTTCAAGTTAAGAACTCGAGAGGTGGGTAAACTCCGCTGTCTTTGAGTCTGTTAAGACGTGCCACCATCTAACGTGCTATCTACCTTTACCTGTCGATGTCGAGCGTTGGCTGTCGAGTCCGCACTGCAAAGATATTAAACCCCTTTTAAGTCGTTACGTGTTTGTTTGGTTATAAATATAAATAGAAATGGTTTACAGGTCGAATCGATCACGGAAACTAGTTTATTCGGATGGGAACACCGAATAGAGTGGAGGTGGGATGTGGAAACTCGGCCATGTTAGGAAATTAATGGTTTGATTAGTACACAGTTACTTACGTATGGTTGGGTTGAGTTTCGTGTTTTGGTTTCTAAAATTTTGATGGAGACAACTTTTCTTAAATGTCAGTGGAAAGAACCCACTTTCATGACTTTGAGTTGGTGAGTAAAACCAGGGAAGTGTCTCTGTGGGCAATACATGTTTTAGACCGTCTTTAAACAAATGCTAAATTATGAGAGTTAAATTACAATTGATGATTATGTGACAATTTAAATTTCTATGTCTAATTTTGTGTTTCTCTAACCAAATTGTTAAATGTTAATTTCCTATTTAAATAGAGTTTTAAATTATTGTAGTTATTAAAAAATTGTTGAAACATAATTTTTATTGGTTGAAATGTTAGCAAAATAAAAGACGCACCATTAAAACGAATTAAAAATAAATTTGACTCCTAATCACAAAGCCTTCAAATCCATTCAGCAAATAACACTTCAGTTTGTAGACTTTTGATGTGAAATATGTATAGTGACATTTCATCTAAAATTCTAACATCTAACGATGCTCTTAGATGTCAGTTCCGGAGTACTTTTAGAACAGTTCATTTTTATTTTGTTTTGTATCAGGTCACTCTTAATCATTTTAATATTCTTAGTAGAATAATAACGTTAGTGGATTAAATAGTTATTTATTAGGAGAAAAGAGTATTGATGAAGATCGAACCTGTAACAAGGTGCATAAGCATGATTAGTTTTCGTCAGTATTTTAACATTCACGAAAATTGAACTCTTCCAATGAAAGGTGATGTATATTTAAACTAGCCTAAATAATTGGTTAATTTAAACCAAATTAAACTGGCAAGCACATGAATCAATTGTAGAAATATATGCAAATACAAGGTCGATCCCATAGAGACTACTTTTCATACCAATTCAACCAGCTGATTACGCGAAACTTCTTAATTAAGAAACAAATGATTGATTAATTGATTACGAAAAATAATTAAAACTCCAACTTATAATCAAACTAGGAATATGAATAACGAAAACACAACAAATGAAGGTTTAAACAAATTAATATGATGATAGCCTAAGGTTATGAATCCACCAATAACAATCATATTCCTTTTTCTTCAAGTTGATTACTATCCAATTACCATGCCAATATTTAAGGTTGTTCTTTCTAAGATATGAATTAATCCATGGTCAGGCATCAACTCGCGTGTGTAACGTGGCAACTATATGCTATTGGTTAGGCATACAGTTAAACACATAAAAACCCATTAAGCACTGAAGAATCATGTCAACCAAGTAGGACTAGTTTGATATTGGTGATCCTCACTAGTTTGTCTACTCTTGTTAATCTTAGTTCCAATAAATCTAATTGATTGGTCATTCTCTTAGATTTATCTAGATATCTAGAAATAAGTTCACAATGATGCCCAGTCACAAGGACATCCGAAATTAGAATAAATTGAACACAAAGATTAAGAAATAAGTTATCATAATGAAAATGAAATTGAGTTAAACCACACAATAAGTACACCGTAATACTAAATTAAGAATGTATCTAGGGTTACGTTAATTATTTTTTTAAACATATTTTAATACGTTCTAGGGTTGATAATATGCTTTGAACTAGAACAATTTTATTCACCGATGGTAGCAAAGTTGACAACGTCTCTCGGACCCGACCAAACCTCATGGTTGACAAAAAGAAAAACACCAACCCGCATGACAACGTCTCTCCAATTTGCTTGCTCACATGCGGGTCTCTCCAATTTGCTTGCTCAGTACGAAATTCACAGTAGTGTTTACTTTAACGAAAAATTAATTTAAAAAATCAACCATAATTTATTTATTTTACCTTTTATTTTACTGATTTTCATTAGTTTTCTTATAAATATCTCCAAAAAAATCTCTCAATAACCGAAAAAAAAGTACCCGCGCGCTTCCGAGTTGCCTCGTTCTGACGACTGAGTTTTGACTCGCCGCTGCCGACCTCCACCAGTAAAAAATGGAGGAAGTGGATCGTTCTCGAGCTTTCCTCAAAGACGTTAAGCGCCTCGTTATCAAGGTACATATTTTCCCGCATTAATCATTCATTTCTGAATTCAATTTTTTTGTCATTTTTCGAAAAATTGATAGTTTTATTTTCATTTTTGAACTCAATGGATCTTGAAAGAAGCTTATTTTTGGCAAATTTGAAGTCTTTTTGGTAGATATTTATTGAAATTTTAGTTCCCCAAAAGATTTGAAGCAGAAAATTTGATATCTTCAGAGTTTTAGTAGTGTGATTAGTAATGAGATTAATATTTTGTGATGTTTTGGTTGGATTATGAAGGTCGGGACTGCCGTTGTGACTCGAAACGACGGAAGAATTGCTCTTGGAAGATTAGGCGCACTTTGTGAGCAGGTATGCAAATTGAGGAACAATACACTTTTATTTACTCTTGTATTGATTGCTAATGCAATTGAGCATTTTTTCGGGTCTGAAAATGTTAATTTGATATGAAATGCAGCTGAAGGAGTTGAACTCTCAAGGGTATGAGATTATATTGGTGTCATCTGGTGCTGTGGGCCTCGGCAGACAGCGGCTCAGATACCGGAAATTAGTTAACAGCAGGTTCGTATCGTGTCCCTAATTGACATTGCTGCCATTTGTTTGGATAACTTTAAAGATATTTTCTTTAGAGGCTCTTATGTCTGAAAAATTTCGATTCTAATTGGTAGTTATTGAATTGCTGCAGCTTTGCTGATCTCCAGAAACCACAAGTTGAACTTGATGGGAAGGCGTGTGCCGCTGTTGGACAGAACTGTCTGATGGCTCTCTACGATACCTTGTTTAGTCAGGTGAACGCATTGATCCTCTGTTAAATCTGTTCTCAAGCTGTATCGAACCCTTGAATTGGACTTGACGCTTGGTTATTTAAGTTCTTACAAGCAAAGCTGGATCATCAGATATATGAGTTTTCTAATTATTGCCCAATTCAGTTCAATTTATCTTTTTCCTTTTCCTAAGCCTCATTTGTTCTCCCTTGCAGTTGGATGTGTCATCAGCTCAACTTCTTGTAACAGACAGCGATTTTAGGGATAGAGATTTCAGAAAGCAACTCAGTGAAACTATGAAATCGTTGTTATCTCTGAAGGTTATTCCTATATTTAATGAAAACGACGCAGTCAGTACGAGGAGAGCTCCTTACGAGGTTTAATACTCTTCTATGGTTGATGTGTTTATCACTTTGTTGTGGTACTGATATTCTGTGGGCAGGACTATCACAATCTTAGTCTTGCTATTATGGATATGGACAAAAGGAAATATGGGAATCAAAAAGTGATTACAAAGAAAGAAACGAAATATTGGGACCACTTAAGAACGCAATACGTTACCTACACTATCTCATACTTATTTTCCTTTTCTAAACACTAAGGAATTTAAGTGTATTCATGCGATACATATTCCACTCATTGCAGGATTCATCTGGTATATTTTGGGATAATGACAGTTTGGCAGCTCTACTGGCTTTGGAGCTAAAGGCTGATCTTCTTGTTCTTTTGAGTGATGTGGATGGTCTATATAGTGGGCCTCCAAGTGACCCACGTTCAAAACTTATCCATACGTACATAAAGGAGAAGCATCAGACTGAAATTACTTTCGGAGACAAATCTAGAGTGGGAAGAGGAGGTATGACTGCTAAAGTAAAAGCTGCTGTCAATGCAGCTTATGCTGGCATCCCTGTTGTTATCACCAGGTGTGTTTTGATATTTGGTTGTGTCATCAGAGTGATAAACTACGCTATTCTGTGGCATCAGTTTAACTATAAAAATTCAGTGTCATGTTTATATCATTTCGTTATAGTTTAAAAGAAAAATCATTATTCAACTTGTCTATGATAATGAGGTTACATGGGAGGGTTTATGAAAACTCAAGGGTAGTGTTAGTTTTCTGGTTGGTGAAAATTCACTGATAAATAAGAAATATGTGGTTCACATCCTTCTTACAAGTTAGAGTACCAAATACTCCAAAATTTTAAATTAATACTTGTAGTTTTTGTTTTTAATGGCATTGCAATCTAAATTCGATATGCTGCCCTTGACTGTGTACTAATCTCTTTCTTTGTTAAGTGGGTTTGCTGCTGGAAACATCTTTAAAGTTCTTCAAGGGCAACGTATTGGTACCCTCTTTCATCAAGATGCACACTTATGGGCACCAGTTAAAGAAATTGATGCAAGAGGGATGGCAGTTGCAGCTAGGGAAAGTTCCAGACGGCTTCAGGTAGCTTTGATCACATAGTTTAGTATGTTGACTGCTGCTCATAAATACTTCTGCAGTCGTTGGCAATCTTACTCCCATAATTATTTAGCAATGGATATCTACTAAGTTTAGCAAAACAAGTAACTTGGTAACGCTTCCTCTGCAGGCCATGACTTCAGAAGAAAGGAAAAAAATTCTTCTGGATGTAGCTGATGCCCTTGAAACAAATGTAAAATTGATCAACATTGAAAATGAAGCTGATGTTTCAGAGGCACAACAAGCGGGATATGAAAAATCACTTATATCTCGGCTGGCTCTGAAGCCTGGGAAGGCAAGAGAGCCAACTTCTTTGCTATTTGAGATAAACATTTAGTTTCATTCGTTTTTGTATTATTGTTACTTATCACTACCTTTTGGTTTATGTTTGATGCCAATCTGTACAATTGCTCACTAGACTTTGTGTATTTGTTTCTGAAAACTGGGGTCCCCTTCTGATTCTTTTCTGAAATGTGCTCATACTGCAGATTACAAGTCTTGCAAAGTCTATACGTGTGCTTGCAAACATGGAAGATCCAATTGGTCGTGTTTTGAAAAAAACTGAGGTATGGGATGCGATATAAGGATCATTATTTTTGGCTTATGATATTCTTACACAACAATGCTCTCAAGAGTGTGGACAACGATTTAAGACAAACAAATAAAACAATAGATAGAGATCAAATACAAAAGTATTAACTCCACTATCAATTTCTTACTTAGAGATATTTGCGATTATTGACATTTCTGTAATACATAGTCTATAATCTGCAACTGAAATCATTTATCTTTGTCAAGTGGGGCACCATAATCTGTTGTTGTGCTGATAACTAATAAATGATGCTTCTGTTGGTAACACTTGCTTCCAGCTTGCAGATGGTCTTGTCTTGGAGAAAACATCAAGCCCACTGGGTGTTCTTCTGATTGTGTTCGAGTCCCGTCCTGAAGCACTAGTACAGGTGTACAGTGAAACTTTGGAATATCAAACTGCATCTTATCTTATGTCATTTAAATTTTGTTTGTCGTGTGTGGAAAGTGTAAAATAAATGTGGACAATTGAGATGCATAGTGGGAAAGATGCAGCTCAATACCTTCTGTAATTTAACAGCTTGGAAATCAGATCTCATTAAAAAAACTTAGACAAGGACTTTGAGGAAAAAATTTTTTGGTTCTTTATTTTAAATGTTTCACGAATCTCATATTCAGTCTCTGTCATTAGTTTTATGCTTTGGAGAAGACTTGCATTTCTTCCTCATCATACGCCTAAGGGTTTTTGTATTTTTTTTATGATTGAATAGATAGCTTCATTAGCAATCCGAAGTGGGAATGGACTTCTCTTGAAGGGGGGAAAGGAGGCTAAGAGATCAAATGCAATTTTGCACAAGGTTTGTTTCTCTCAATCTAATGATCTGTACAAAATACATAGAGAATTTGTATTTGCATTCCCTTTTTGCATTGTCAGTGAAGTAATCATTTTATTAAAAGTATTTTTCATAAAAAATATGTAGATTATCACCGAAGCCATCCCAGAGAGTGTTGGTGGAAAACTAATTGGACTTGTGACTTCAAGAGAAGAGATTCCAGATTTGCTTAAGGTGAGTAGAGCATAGACTGATAATCCCGATTCCTCAGTCGATTTCAGATGATTATTAGTACTAACTAAAAAATTATTTCCAGCATGATGACGTGATTGATCTTGTGATCCCAAGAGGCAGCAATAAACTGGTTTCTCAAGTCAAGAATTCGACCAAGATTCCAGTTCTCGGTCATGCCGGTTAGAACTACTAAATTTATTCTTCACTTATAAATAATTGCATTATGTGCTCCATTTTTCCTGTATTCTTGTTTTGTGAGAGAATATGATGGCGGCTGCCATAGTAATGCGTTGTTTTCTATGCAGATGGAATATGCCATGTGTATATTGATAAGTCTGCTAATATGGATATGGCAAAGAGAATTGTTTTGGATGCAAAAATAGATTATCCAGCAGCATGTAATGCAATGGTAATTTATGCGTAATTTACAATTTCTGGATGATAATATGTTTCGATGGCATCTTACAATCTTTCTACTGCAGTTAAGAACGTACTTTGTAATTGCTAATTTATCATTAGTAACACTTTGTTGTTGTGTGTGTTATTCTCAGGAAACACTTCTTGTCCATAACGATTTGAAGAGTACAACTGCATTTTATGATCTTGTTGTTGAGCTTCGCATTGCAGGTACAATTTTCATGCATAAAACTTCTTTTGTTTTAAACAAGGGCGTTGAGGTGGATGAGACTTGATACTGTTCATATGCCTTTTACCTGTTGAGAACGAGAATTACTGAAAATTTCGAATCACAGGCATGTAACAGAACAATATTCTGTTACCCCCCACCCAAGCTTGGGACACACTTTTAAAGAGAAGCCAACAAAAATTGTTTCAGTGAAACATGCCATCAGAAGGATTTAAAGAAATTAAACTCGGGTATCATTTTCAGGTGTTACTTTATATGGTGGACCAAGGGCAAGTGCCTTGCTCATGATTCCAGAGGCGCATTCATTCCATCATGAGTACAGTTCAATGGCTTGCACTGTTGAGTTTGTTGACGATGTGCATGCAGCGATTGATCATATACATGAACACGGAAGGCATGTCAAAGTTTCCTTTTTTAAATGGATTACATGTCAATCACTTGCATAAAGCTGTCATTTATCTTTTCTCCATTTTGCAGTGCACATACCGATTGCATCATTGCAGAAGACCAAGAAGTTGTGGATGCGTTTTTAGGTCAAGTCGACAGGTATGAATGATTCCGGTCTTTTTTCAGAGGATCTATGCTTTCCATATCAATCAGAATATTCTGTAATCAGAGGCAATTACATAGAGTCAGGCCAACTAAATGGTTGGACAGAAAAAAAGGTCCTACTTGTTCACCCTTTAGTGATGTTGGCAAGTAACGTTGATTGTTATAAACGTTGGCAGTGCTGCTATTTTCCACAATGCAAGCCCAAGATTCTGCGATGGTGCTCGATTTGGACTTGGTGCGGAGGTAGAAAGATGATCTTGCAGTAATTATTGAAGACAGTTATATGCCAAGGTTTTGAGTCCTGTATCTAACTATCTTCCCTTGCTCAACAGGTTGGGATAAGCACAAGTCGAATTCACGCTCGGGGTCCGGTAGGAGTAGAAGGATTGTTAACAACTCGATGGTAAGAAACCTCAGTTCATGTCAGTACATTTTCGGTTGGAAGTACAGAAGCACCTTGAAGAAGGCACTCCCCCCTTTGTCCAAAACAAAAATATTGACTTTTACTATTTTGATCGGACGTGCAGGATTCTGCGAGGAAATGGGCAGATTGTGGACGGTGATAAGGGGATTACTTACACACACAAGGACCTCCCAATTGAGCCCTAAATTTGTCATCAATCACAGCCGTCCATCTCCCGTTTCCATCTTCCCAGGTGGTCACTTGTGAGAGAGATGGACAGAGAATAAATTATCATGTATTATTGCTTTAAAATATGATGCGTAGTTTATCCCCACTCATATTAGCGTAGCAAATTCATAAAAATTTTCTGTTTTTTTTCTTTTAGAAAAATAATAAAATCATTTCATTACTTGCTCTTTTCATCGTCTTGAATGTACCTTCCAGTATCCACCGGTGTATTGTACAACAAAATTTTGAGATACTTCTGATGAAATAGTGAGTGCACAAGAGATTGCCTAAATGGTTATTTTCATATGAAATGCAACTATTGTTTGCATAAAAGCCTCTCAACAACAGACCACATCTTTTCTACCAGGTAACATCTTACGGTAAAAGTTTTACGCTTCGACGAAGCGCTTAAGTTGCTGCAACCAGTTTGCATATTCTTTGCTGTCCTTGTTGAGCATGTACTCATGCAAGAAATTGGTTGTGCTGGGCTTGATTCCTCTCACCTCCAAATACTTGTGGAATGCCTTCTGAAGGTTCTCGTCCAAATCACTGCAATACAGCAGACATTTGCGTGAATTCGAGAGAATTACGTATACAATAATCTTCCATTAATGCTGCAGAAGTATTAATCATTTATGCTTACTGGAAATCAGGCCCCTCGTAGGCAATTTGATCCTCGGAATCTTCGGGATTTTTCACTGCCAAGCTGTCAATTTGAAACTCATCAGGGTAAGCAGTGATGCTAAACTCGAGAACTGGTCCGTTACCCTTGGAGACAGTTACGACCAACGGGATGCTGGATTGGTTGGCGTGTTCATCATTGTCATCATTTTGGTTATCATCGTTGTCGTCTTCACCTGTGACTAGATCAGGCATGTGAACTTCAACCTGTATGTCTTCACCTTGATATGTTCTTTTCAGCGTCACCGTCTGGATTCCGGGAGTATCTTCAATTTTAAAAGGGAAGGATGATGGAATCTCCTCAACCTACAAATTGAGCACTCGAGTAGCGATAATTATGGTGATCTCACATAATTCAAACATCACTAACACATCACTTCCCAACTGCTTCAGAAGAGAAACTGAACAATAATTTATTAAAAGTCTCTAACACACACATTCAAACATCTACTGCTGAATCGAACCACGAGCGAAAACACTCACACAATCCATGAACAAATACCAACATAAACAAATTATCCAACATCACTCACAAACATCTATTACTAACATTCGAAGATCATGTAGTTCTTTTACAAGAAACAATTTTTCGAAATATATACATCTCAAGGGGCAAATCAAAATCAAGGAAACGAACATAAGGGAAATATGATTGAACTAAATTAAGGAAGTATGAACTCTAACGCAAGGAATCCTTCAATTTCTGCAATTCACTTCAAAATAGCAGTTCCCAAGCACGATTATTCAATTGAATTGAGATGGGGTTTTCCTAATCCACGAAGCCAAGCACAACAGAGCCACCATACCCTCATTTTCTTGCCCATTTCCCCAAATTTTCTCAGAAACCAAACAGTCCACAATGCAAGAGAAAATTAACTAAAAAACCTCACCTTGTCGAGATCCTCGGTCTCCTCAGCGCACTTGATCTCCGACTCGATGACCCTGATCAGAGACTGGTCCGAACTGTGGCTCGAGTAGTATCGAGGGGTGGGAACGAAAGGGGTCGGCTGAGTGTGCTTTCGGGAGAAATTTAAGTGGTTGACGGTGGTGGCAACAGCGCCGTGGTAAGACCGCTGGCCACGAGCAAGGCGGCTGGCGAGTGGGGCCAGGGAGGAGGCCGATCGGCGGAGAATTGAAGTGAAAGCCATTTGGTTTGGAGGAGAAGCGAGGCGAGGGTTTAGCTAGGGTTTTAGAAACAGGACTCTCTCTCCCTCTCTCTCTCTCTCTCTCGACTCCTTGAGAGGTTTAGGGTTGAAATGCGTTGAAGTCGGTGGCCTTTATGGCGAGGTGGGTGTTGGTTCTCTGCGGTCTCATGTATTGTATAGACTTTTGCGACCAATGTTTTATGGAGTCCAATTCCTTCAAAACGAGGAATTGAATTCCCAAGTTTAATAAACGAAAGTATATCTCATGTTCGGAATCTAATTCCGCAATTTGATTCTGAATTCTGATTATATTCCTGTAAAGTCGCTATTTGATGTTTTAAATTTAAATCCTTCTTCTCCACCAAAAAAATAAAAAAATAGATAATGCAATATACACACCTATTTTTACTTCTCACACGTCTCTTTCATTTTTCGGAAGTCAAATCAGAGGAATTGAAAAAAAATCAATGATTAAAAATTAATAAGGATTTGTAAGAGGTAAAAATAGAGATACAAATAACAAAATCCAAAAAAAAAAAAAAAAAACTGAGTGGGCTCATATAAAATGCAATCTACCTATTGGGCCCAAATCTAACTATATTTTATATTGAGGGCCCATATAAAATGCAATTCTTTTCTTCTACTTTCTTCACATTGAGGGCCCAAATCTAACTATATTTTATATTTGATGGAGGACCAATGAGAGAGAGACCCATGCGAGAGAGAGAGAAATAAAGCAGTCTCTCGGTAAGAGAGATGATGAAAGCATTCCATTCCTGCCGGGAAATGATCGGATGGGATCCCTTTCACCAAGTCTATCAAGGCACATAATCTGAACCTTTGAAATTTGATCTAACGGCTTATGTTATTATAACTTTTCAAGTGAGTTCATGTTAAAAACCGTTAGATCAAATTTCAAAAGTCCGATTGTGTGTCCGGGTTGGAAAGATCCTTTCCCCATTGCTGCCATCCCATTCCATGTCAAACATCTTTTTTCTTCTTCAACCGAAAATCTCAACTTTATCTCTGAAGATCCCACATTTTAAGCCTCCCCTCCAAAAGTTGAGTTCTTTAGCTCTTATTGCGTTAATGGTGGAATTATATGAAAGTTAGGGCTCATTTGTAGGACTCAGAAAACGGTTCCTTCGAGCTTAGAGAGAGAAAATCTAGAGAGAGAGAGAGAGAGAGAGAGAGAGAGAGAGAGAGTGAAGGGAAGGGATGAAGAAGCTGTTTGGGAGCCCAGGGAAGGTGAGTGGGCTGGCACTGAGAATTGGGCAGTGCTGTTTTGCTGCTGCTGCTATTGGGGTGATGCTCTCTGCTCATGGATTCTTCAATGCCACTGCATTTTGGTATTTTGTTTTCCCCTTCTTATTATGTCTTTCTGTTTTTTTTACATTTTTTACAAGAAAACTTTCGTCGATTCTGTTCTCCCCTGGTGGGTATTTTGAACTGGTTGTGTTTTTATCGATCGATTTCGGATTTGTTCAATTTGTAGCAAAATTTAACCCAGCTGGGATTCTCCATTAATGGAAAAAAAAAAAGGGGTTTAATTAGAAAGGAAAGTGGTGTGGATCGGATTCCCTTGCTATGTTTTACCAATTGAAAAATGCTAAGGAGACTCGGACTCTGACGCCTCACAGTTTAACGTAATTTCCGTGCCAAAAAATTATGAAACACTGCGAAAAACATGAGGTGAGAGAGAGTACAGAGAGTTCCACTTTTAAGATAGTCTTCTTAGCGTTTCTCTTTACCAATTACATAGAAATTAATGAGGAGGAAGTAAAAGAGAACAAATTTAAGTCTCTTAGTATTTAGAAATGTGGTTAATGGTTCTGAAAGTGGTAAAAGCAAATTTCATGTTGTTGCCCTTACCCTTGTTTTCGCTCTTATTTATTCACTTACCAAGGTTTGTCGTAAAATGTTAAACTAATCACTTACTAATGTATGCTTGGTTCTTGAGTTTTTCTATGGTTGATCTGGGCCTTTGTTTAATTCATCTACCCTCGTCTGTTGATCTCTGAGCTTAAATCTGTACATTTTAAGGATAAGAATCTCCTCCTATTGAACCTATACCTTCCACATAGGAATAAAAAATCGTACATTATTCCACCTTATTTTGTTTGCAGAAACCTGAACATCATAAGATGTCTATGTACGGTGACAATGGCGAATTGAAGCTATAATTCTCTTTGCAGCATTCTGAAAAGTCATCTCAATGACCTCTCTCTCTCCCTCTCTCTCTATCACATAACCAGAAGTCAATGAAGTCACTCCTACCATTCTGCTTCCTTGGTAGCTAATGATTTTCTTCTCCTACGAACAAATGATTTCAATTCTCCCACTTATAGAGAGGTTTGAAGAAGTTTCTTGAGATATTGTGACCGTGTAGTTTTCATGTGTTAACGTGTGTTTACTTGATTTTCGGTTCATAAAGCCTTTCCTTAGTTTGTATGTGTTCTGATAAGTAGCAACACCTTCCCACCTCAATTTATTGATCAGTTGTGTTCATAGAACTTGGAAGTGTTATTTGTGAGCCTAACTTTTAAGGTGCATAGAGTCGCATGTCTTTGCCTGTATGTCCCCTATGTGTCCATTGGTGCATACTTGCGTTAGGACTTATAATCTGCTAATTTATTGGTTGCTGCCCCTGTCATGCAGTAAGATTGTTCTTTATATCCTTTCCCGTAAATGGTTTGAAGTTTACATGCTTCTAGGTTTGAATAGTTGTATAATTCTTACCTGCATTTATTTGGATGCAGCTATTTAATTGCATCAATGGGGCTTCAAGTTGTTTGGAGTTTTGGACTTGCTTGCCTTGATATACATGCTTTGAGGTCAAAGAGAAGCTTGCAGAATCCCATTTTAGTGAGCCTATTTGTTGTCGGGGATTGGGTAAGTTTCTTCATTTATTTATGGATTGTTTTTTGCATTTAGTATTCAGAAACAAGTGTGTGTGGCATCGTTAATTTTAAGGGTTATGCATGATTTCTGATGGACTGGAGATGTTGGGAGAAGTTTTTAGATAATTTATGCACTTATTAATTGAAACTTATCCTGATCACGCGGAACAAATGTTGGATCATCAGGACAACTAAGTAGCGGAAAAATGTTTGAGAAAACATGGACAGTCAAATAACTTCAATTCCGTTGTGTGATCTTCAGGATACTGATTAACTTAGAAATGAATAAAGCTTTTCGATATTTACTAAAATTTTCTGGAAAGAAAGTATCACCTTCCCAAATGAAAGGTTTCATTGTGCTTTAACCGTTTCTTGTAGCTATTGCACTACCACTACTAAACAGATTGTTTACTTCAGAGTTTTGATTCTGTCTATGGTTCGGTGTATAAAAACCGAAGAGGTTATAAACTAATTCATGTTTAACAAAAATGAAAAATGCAGGTGACGTCTACACTGTCATTAGCAGCTGCATGCTCATCAGCGGGGGTGACAGTTCTGTACTCGAGGGATTTGAATTACTGCAGGCCGCCAATGCATCTTCCATGCAGCAGGTTCCAAATCGCCGTTGCCTTTGCTTTCATCTCATGGTTCCTCCTTGCTGTTTCGTCCATTGTCATGTTTCGGTTGTTAGGCGCAGTATGAGCTTGACAAAATTCTACATATTCTTCAATTTTCCCCTGTAAATACATCTGAGAACTGTCGTCCCTATATGGAGAGAAATCTACAACTACGGGGATGCCACTAGAGCAGTATCCCGAGCCAGCCGCGCAGTGTCATACATCCTAACTTTTCCACGTGGCAGCACGAGGTGTAGTTAGCTTGAGATACTGTTATGATGGCATTCATGTTGCATGGAAGTCCTTCTCCGTCTTGGAGGTTCATAAGGTTTTGATCTTCTGGATGGATTTCCACTTGTCAATCACAATTCTTGAGCAGCTCCAACCTTTGATTGGGACAAGAGTTGTGGGGTCCATGACTTGAAAATCATCATGTGTGTTAATTTTTGTAATGAAAGTAGGTCTGCTGTCTCTGGAGTGTAATCATTTTGCTGTACTATTGTCTCTCTTGCTTTGCTGTATTTTATCTGGTGGAATTTCACATGGTAGACCACACTTGATTAGTTGCTTTTCCTTTTGTCATTTCATTTTTTAATTTCCCATTTAATCCTTGTTTATTTCATTTTCTTTCAATTAGGTTTCGTTTGGAAATACTTTTAAAATGACTGAAAGCGTTTTTGGTAAAACTATTTTTGAAACCAGTTCTTAGTAAAAATGCAAATGAATCTTTGAAAAGCACTTAAAGTGATTATGGTAAGAAACACTTAAACTTGTGTTTTTAGCATGAAGCATTTTTTGTTTTGAGCAAACGATATTATCTACACTAAGGAGAGAGGGGTTGGCGTAGCCTCACAATGAGTTAGCAATAATGTGGTTCAAATTCGCCTTTGGTGATAATCGAACTTAAAATTTTTCATTTACAAATGAAGACAAATACTATTAAACCGTAATACTAAATTACATCAATTAAAACCTTCTTGTCCGTCAAAGTGTCATAATTATCACTAATTAGTGATACATAATCAAAGCCTTGTTGTCCGTCAAAGTGTCATTCTGAGAGATAAAGATGGCTGAGGTGCTCACTCACGTCACACATAAAATGTGTGACAATAATTACAACACCCAACCCCTTTTTATTTGGTTCTACAAATCGCTAATATTTCTTCTTATGTCCCTCTCAGTCTCACTCACTTAGTAGAATAATACGCTGTTTTGGACGAAGCCTAAGAGTCATAGGATTTGCCTTGTGTGGCAGGAAAGAGGGATGGATGACAAGGGGTCCATGATTTCACCTTCTAATTTTGTTTGGACCGGAAAATGCAAAATATTCAAATCCGCAAAGGAACGAGAGACTGAGAGCACTGACCCATGCATTCGAAATCGTGTGTTTAAATTTCCCCTCTCTTAGTATTGTTTGCAACTAACGAAGAAACGTCGGGAACACACCCATGAAATGCTCTGTCTTTGTATTCTGACAAGTATCAAAACAAAACTACTCTAATAGCCGGAAGAACAATTCAAACTAAGAGACAAGCACGCTGCATATTACTCGGACCAACTGACATAATTCACATAATCTATGCTGCCGACACTTCGATCAATGGTCTTGGAATCTTCCCAGATCTAGTAGAGATACCAACACTGGAAGCAAAGTACCCACTTAATTAAAAAATGCAAAAAACAAAATATTATTAATATTAATAGAAAAGAATTCAAGCTTGATTAATAAGTTACACAGCAAGAGAGTGACTGATAAATTTATTCCTATATACACCAAAAACAATACACAATTCACAACAATTCCAAGTCCCAGAGGACAACCAACGGCCCCAAAACTTCAAAAAACATCACAAATGAAGGAGCAGCAGAGCCTATGCACTGTATAAACGGGAAGGATAAAAATAGCAAATACATATCAAACAAAATAACTTACTACATCTCTTGACACCAAATTCTGTTTTGTAATTTGAACATAAGCGACAGCGTACAGCCTACATTACAATTTCCGGCTTCAAAATGCTCGACTTGATTTCTTTGTGGGGCAAAACCACACCTCCGTTGCTGTAAATCTCATCGCTCACATGCACATCTTCTCCGAGGATGGTCATGTTCTCTACACGAGCCCATTGTCCAACGGTGGAGTGCCATCCGATTATACTGCTGGAAATGCATGCGTGGTTCTTGATGCGGACTCCACGCATTACTGTACAGCGAGAGAGCCTGACTCCCGACTCAATAATGCAGCCTGGACCGATTGCAACATCCGGTCCAATCAGGCATCCCTCGCCAATTTTGGCTGTCTCGTCCACCAGAACGTTTCCCACAATGTGGGCGCCTCTGGCCAACTTGGATGAAGAGTTCTTCCTCAACGAATCCAGGTATAGTCTCAGGCCGGTAATATAATCCCTTGGTTGCCCAATGTCCATCCAAAACCCTGGAAGGACCATTGCGAAGAGCTTATTCTCTGCTGCGATTTTTGGGAATACTTCTTTCTCAATTGAGGTTGGTCTGAGTTCAATTTTATCAAGAACGGAGGGGTTCAACAAGTAAATTCCAGCATTGATTTTGTTGCCAACAAACAACTTTGGTTTCTCCACAAATTTCTGAACTTTCCCTGTAGACTCTTCCATAACCACCACTCCATATTTCGACGGCTCATCCACCTATATAAAAAGAAGTTATTTTCAGTGATATCAAGGCTGGAAGGAAGCTGAGTGCAAAGTATCAGGTAGAATTACAACTCAATGTTACCTTGGTCACCATTATGGAAGCTTCTCCTCCATGGGCTTTATGGAATTCAATCATTTCCTTAAACGGGTACTCGCTGATAACATCACTGTTAAGGACAAAGAAGGGCTCACCAGAATCGTCAATCAGTTTGTCCCTAGCAAGAGCCAGAGGTCCAGCAGTGCCAAGGGGCTCAGTCTCTTGTGAGCATGTGATCTTGATGCCAACCTTTTCCTCAAACTCCTTCAAGAAAGTCATCATCACCTGCAGAAATGATAAAGAGCATAAGCATTCAAAGAACCTTCGGTAGCATGAATCTCGTCAAGTATAAAATCAAACTTTTCGCAAGACGATGGCCTTGCTTACCTCTGGTTGGTAATTGATAGCCAGAACCACTTCTGTCACGCCAATTGCCTTAAGAGCCTCTATCTGAAAGCAAAAACCAACAAAATTGTATCAACTCGTGATTTATGCGATCACAAAAGCATGCGTACATAAAACACACTGTGAGGATTTGAGGTAAGCACTATATTTTGAGGTTTTTGACAATTCCTCTTATACAGAAAGTAATAATGTTTAGGCTCAAGATCAACAAAAGGAAATCCACTCCTACAAACGGATAAAAAAAAATATTTTTCAATTGCTAGAGCAATTGTACCTGATGCAGGATCATGGGTTTGTTAGCAAACTCAACAAGTGGCTTGGGAAAACTGAGTGTCAACGGCCGCAGACGCGTCCCGAAACCTCCAACAAGAATAAGTGCCTTCATTTTGATATGCCCTCTGCTTTCCCTGGTATATTAGTACAGTCAGAAAATCTTACACCTTAGTTCATGGCTCGAGCAACTTTAACCGGAAAAATTCCAACAGAAATCATAGAAACTCTATGTGCTGACATTACCAACGCAATTAATCACAGAAACTCCACCGGATCTGTCATTATACATGAAATTAATCTAAAACATACTTCGACGACGAATTCAAAGCTCAAAATCCCAAGCAAATTCGCCAAAACATGCGAATCGAAGCAATCAAATCAATCAACTTTTTGAACAATTCAATCCAATCGACACGAAACACATTGCCAAAAAGTCCGATCGAATCGACGCCCAAAGAGCGCTGAATTACCTCGGATCTCAACAGATCAAAACGCGAAGGGAGTCCACCGCAGCAGCTTGGGTTGGGACTCGGACGAGTGGGGGGACCGGGTCGTCGGGAGCGAGTTGGCGCTAGTGGTATTGCCTTTCCACCCTAACAGTTTATCCGTCAGGGTCCGAGCTGTGCAATGACGTTTGGTTGAGGAGAATGCTTCCGCATCGGATTTGTATTTATACGCGCGGAGGGGAGGGTGATATTAACGAACCTAGTTTTCTGGCGGATCTCAAATTAAAATATTAATTCTAACTTTCTTCACGTCCGCTTGGCGCTAATGGTTTACGCGTAATTTCGGGGTAGTTTCGTACTTTCGTCTGTTTATGTTTGTGGATAAATTTGTACGGTAAAGTATCGAAGTATGATTTTTCTTTTTTTTTTTTTTTTTTTTTCTTTTTTTTTTTAACAACCATATTATATACACTGGAAAGTAGGTTACGTCTTAAAATATGCCAGTTATAATGTGATTCAAATTGTTATTTGATGATAATCAAACTTAAGACTTCTCACTTACAAGTGAAGAAGAATATCACTATATTCTAATACTAAATGATCAAAGTATGATTCTTTTGTTTTGGGTGAAATTATAGATTCTAAAAAAAAGGGAAAATGATCATCTCCAGATCTCTTTCCACCTAATCCATCTAGTTTGGGATCTAGGCCGTTGAAATTTGATCAAATGGTTACAATTATTATCACTTTTAAGGAAGCCCCATGTTTGTAACCGTTAGATCAAATTTTAACAGCCTAGATCCCAGACTAGTTGAATTAGGTGGAAATGAATCTGGACAGGACCTTTCCCTACGAAAGAAGGTTCATTTTAAAATCTATTGTATTAAGAGAAGAGCCTTTGTCAACTTTTTTTTTTCTCTTTTTTCCAATTTTACCCTTACTTTTCCATATACAATATTGACATAAGGAGGGTAAAATGGTAATTTTGTACCTTTTGACAACATGACAATCATATCCCTATTTTTCCTATTTTACCCTCTTTTTTTTTGACAAAATTACAATCATATCCCTATTTTTCCTATTTTATCTTTTTTTTTATTTATTTTTATTTATGATACACAATATCTACATAAGGATGACAAAAAAACAGTAATTATGTAATATTAAGAATTGTTCACACACATAAAGTGTGTGCTCCCTGCTACTATATATTACAAAAAAGATGGTGTCTAATTGGGGGAGGTGTTAAATGGATTGATTACAATTACGGGAACACTTTTGTTTAATAACATAATGTGTAATGTTAAGGAAATATTTGATGTTGTGTTACTAGACCGAGAACTTACAGTAAGATGAACTCGACTTGATCAAATTGTTCTAACAAATAGAAAAGATTAAAAAAGATGATGTGAATAATTATAGTAATCCTAATATGTGGTATTTTTTTTATTTCATGAAATACCATTAATCTTGGTTGCGATTGACAGAGTTGGCCAATCAACATCGAGGAATGAAGATAATAATGATACTGTCCTAGTCAAACACAACCATCGTTGAAATAAATTTCTCTTTTTGTTTGCCTTTTAGAATAATACTTTGCTAAAATAAGTAGAAATTCTTATTCAAAAGTGTTCATTGTGAGTTATAAAAAATTGTGTTTATGATTAAAATCGTTCATATTATAAAATTTTTATTAAAAAATCGCTTCTGCAAAAAAAAAAAAAAAAAAAAAGCAATTAAAATTAAAATTAAAATCATTTGTATGTTCTTGAAAGGTTTGTAAGCTCACAAGAAAGATTTATAATAGTGATTTTAAGGTTTCAATGAGAGAATTACTTGTGTTTTTGCTAACTTTGTACCTCAAATTCAAGAGCAGAGAATAAACTTGATCTAAAATTCAACCACAATTCCCCCTGAACCACTTGTCGTGTTTAGTAAACTTTTTTGATTTAAAGTTTGAGACACCCTTTCACCTTAGAGATAATTCTACATGGATAAATGTTTTTTTACAATGCAAATAATTAGGGTTCACACAACCCAAATAAAGAGTTTATCGAGTTAATATCGTAGTACTACTTCTAAAACTATGTGCCATGACTTTGATTTCTCAACTGTAGAAAAATAAAAAGTTTGTAGTCCAAAGATAAATGGGTAGGGATCCTAGAGGACATATGACATATTTAATTTGAGATCCACCGATCGCTATTATTTTTATATCAACTTGCAAGTTGCAGCCAAATTTGCCAACAAGGCAGAAAAAAATATATTCCAAATAAAGATGCAGCTTACATCAGAGCAATTTTTCAATCTGTCAATAACATAATTTGATACATTAAGTGTAATAATATAATTAGTTGATTTTTTTTTTAATTTTCAACTAATTGTATTATAATTATTATGTTTGATGTATCAGATCGTATCCTCTTATACCACCATACCTGATGGGTTTTGCTTCTAATGCAAGATCCACATAAAGGTTAATTAAACCCAAATCGCTTTGCCTATAAGCACAAACTCCAGCTAATTTCAGCTTTAAACTTTTGCTTGCCTCTTAAAAAAAATTGTCATTGATATGCACCAAAACAAAATCTCTCTGTTTCTGATACGAATGATGTTATTTGTACCACATTTACCGATCACCTTATTAGTTTTCTAATCAAGGTGAAAACTTCATCTATATATGTGAGACTTGTGTATATTTGAGAGGTCATCGACAATGTAATCAATAAATGTGGTATGAATAGCATCACTCTTCGAATACTAGTAAGTACAAATACAACCATGAGAAATTCAACCACGAAGCAAGGTTCCAACTTTTAACAAAATAAAAACGAGTTTTTTTAGGAATTTTACATTGATTATATCATAACAAGAGGTTTGTAATTGAAGCAAATACAAGCATTATCTATGCACCCGAATCATACAATTAAGAAAACTTAGTTGTCTTGCGCCAAAACTAAGGCTTACTTATGTTGGTCAATATCAGCATGTTCTAAATTTGCCGTCTTCATCCAAACAACCTAAACAATTCGTTGACCTTTTGGTGTTGGATCCCCTTGACAAAATAGCAAGTCATGCATGCATATATATTTGGTTATGCTCCACTGCTAAGCAATTGTCCTTGTGGCCGACCTCAAGTTAGAAATAGAACCTTTAACCCTTTAGTGTTGTTAAACCAAACAAACCAAAAGGGGGGTATGTATGTGTGAATGAGATTTGAAGTCTCCAATTGAAGTAACAATTTGGCTTCTTTTTTTTTTTTGTTATATGTGGAACCATATATATATATTTTGGTTCGGAGTAAGGCAAATCAGAATAAAAATGCCTTAGAAATCTGATTATGGTTCTGATTGAACTAAGCCGACTAAATAGACCAATGATGCCCTACATCTTGTTGAGCTCTGATATGGTAAGCAAGGTCTACAGACCTTGCTAGGATCGACCATGCTTGTTTCGCAAGACATGGAAACCTGGTCTAACTGGGGTTCATATTGGTTGCTTATATTCTTGGATATTCCCACCATCTAGGGAATGGTTTGCGCTGCAAGTATTCACAATCATAAAAGGAGTTCTAAGATCTTTATACTAACTTGGTACCACACCAGTACCTTACATTAATCACGGTTGTTTATTCTTGTCTATGGCCGTACGTTCTCACATTCCCTACCATCCATGATGGTGCAGAATTTTGATTCCAACTATATCTTTAAAAAAAGATATGACTTGAGTCAAAATGGCAAGTCATGAACTTTTACCAGCAAACTCCAACCTAAGTGATTAACGGTAAAGGACAACTTAGCGAACTGCACCCAACATCATATGTTCGATATTTCATACCCAACATTACTAATGAAGCCTTAAGGAGCATGTCATCTTTCCTTGATACAATCATCAAGTGCAATGCCAGTTAAAATAGTAAAAGGACAAGTCAGCCAACACGTCTGTCTTCTGGAAAAATCAAAAATAATGTGTGAATTTGGTCTTATTTGACTATTCAAAATCTTTAGGCTTTACTTCATATCGTCACCAACTTTCTTAATTAAATAAAAAAATATAGACACGACAAGATACCTTTTTTAGCATAAGCCAGAAATAATCAGGAACAAAAAAATTTCGAGGGTAAAACAAGAAGATTAACAAATTAATTTAATCATTATATTCTTTTTTTAACCATTCTTATCATGGATAAATTATAATGTGGTCTTAGAACGCTGCCTCATAGCACGATCAGTTTATCACTAACGCATGTTATTAATAATAAATGCTAAAATATAAAATAATCGTCCACCTATATTATAATATGAGTGAATTAGTTATAAGATCTGATTGTTTTATTGCCTTTTGTTTCAGGCACAACTCAAAGTGTGTTAAAAGCAGTCTAAATGTGTTTACGTGTCCAGATAGTTTCAAAGCCTATTTTTAGGTCTCACTTCTACTCATTACCTACTTTAACAAAAAGAATCAAAAGATTCAAAACTGAAGACCAGCCAAAGAAATCATTTGAAAGAGTTGATTGCAACCAATTAACAGCTCTGCTCGAGCTAATCGCTCATTAGAAACTAAACCAGTGATTGATCAATGCCATCTTTCAGAATAAAAATGAAAACAAGCAAAAACCCTTTGACCATGAAGGCCCATCTACATAATTAGTGCTAATCTTTCTTTAAGCCCAGTGCACCCAAAAAGCCCAACTACATAATTTGCATGCCCACCCATATAATGGAGCTTCTTTCTAGAGAGAATATGTTTTGGATTAGAGAATCTCTGTGTTTGGCGCCCAAAGACCAGGAGATTTAGACTGTTGAAGGAAGACAAAGGTTTGGGCTATTGGTTTGTTTAAGGTGTGTTAATAGGAGTCGCCAAATTTGAATGAGTAGTCCAGATCTCATAATTTTTAGGCTCCAGACCCAGAGATTCAGAGAGAATCTCGATGATATAATAATCATCACGTGCTTTGTGTACACATGGATCACGAGTGTTGTAGACACAAACGAATAACATACTTTCTCATCTTTTTGGGTATGCCCATTGGCATATCCAATACTTCCAAAAAATTTCTTTAAGGCACGTCCCTAAACCCTAAATCCTAAACCAATGAACTCAAAAACCATAAAAAATAAAAATAAATAAATAAATAAATAAAAACTCATATTTCAGCAAGCAAAACCTCCACCTCAAGCTGTACAAGCAGAACTCTGGTAATATATAACATA